TCACCTGGTTGAAGATCAGTTGCAGGCAGGGAAGCTGATCTGTGTTCATTATCTGAAGCTGTCCTGCACATATTGCAAAGGGTGCATGCTGCCAAGAATCATGACGGCTTTGTGGTGGAGCATCAGGACGGCATTGCGAAGTGGAAGATGCCGCTGGGGAAGGTTCACATGCTCAACGGTACATGGTTCCTGCACTTACCATCCGCGCTTCATCACGGGGTGCCTTTCTGCGTCTCGTCAACTTGTCTTTCCTTTTCCTCACTCGTCTCACCTGCTGCTCACCTGTCGAAAATCTCAGCGAAGTATCAGTCACCGCAGTCAGAACCTCGCGAGCCCCCCGGTATGTATGCCCCCCGTAGGAGACCTCTGCTATCTCCGTCTTCGCTTTCCTCGCTTTGAATTTCGCCGATAAAAACTTGGACGGTACCGCTCCATCTAGCTCCGCTTTAATGCTCGTCATGACTTGCAACCTTTCGGATATACTCCCCCCATACGCCTTCAGCTGCACCTCCGCCTCTGTTAGCTCCCTCCTAGTCAGCGCACAACGGGGTTGAGCCATGACCTCCAGGCAAAACTTTCCCACCTTCGCCTCAAGATGCTTCGTCGTCGCATTGGTCCTCTTCTGCTCCTCTTTTGCATACGACCACAGGCCCGCACTCAGGCAAGTGATCAAAGCGTCAAACCCCCTTCTCCCTTGCCGCCGGTGCCTGTTTAGAATAGCCTCAATAACCCTCCTTGCGCCCGGCCAAGCAGCATGCAGAGCGGGCAACCTCCACAGCCCTGGGCCCCTCGCAGAAGAATGCACAGACCGTAGCTCGATACAAACGGCAAACCAGTGGTCCGAGACCCCGTGCGGAATCAGGCGGTGCTAGACCAGATGGAGCGCCTGGACTAGCGACAGCGAAATGAGAGCACGGTCAATGCGTAAGCTGGATAGGGTGGAGGCGGAGAAAAAGGTGTACTCCCTCGCGCTCAGGTGCAAGAACCTAAAGGCGTCCTACAAGTCGAAGGCCGAACAGATGCCCAAAATTCTATTGTTTTCCCCCCCTGAGCCCAGACCAGAGGACCTATCGAGCGCCGGATCAGATCCCCGATCAGGAACAACTTCTCCGAGGTTGCGACAGCGGCAATGAAGGCGCGAACATGTCCCTGTAAAAAGGACCCTCCATGTTGGCTTGCGCCGGGAAGTACGCAGCCACCAACACCAGGTCAAGATCCCGCCACCGGACCTTCACCGTGATGAGCCTTCCTGACGCGTGAGACACCACCTCTGAGAAGGTAACCTCTTTCCTGAAGCACATCACTGCAATTCCACTTGCCTTCTCACCTGGTACTACCGCCGCCATTGCAGTAGGGCCTAATTGAGTCCATAAATTATGATAATGTGGAACTCTAGTGTCTCTTAGCACCACCACGTCAGCACCTTACTGATCCATTCTTGGCATCTTCCCTGCTTCCGCAAGCTATTCAGGTCGTTGATGTTGGCCTCATAGATCGAGAGGTTTTTCGGGGTAATCATGATTCCACCAGCTGGAGGCCCCGTAACATCCACAGACCGGGTACAACAATGCAGTTGTGGCTAATGAACAGGTACAAGGAAGGTACGGAGCAACCTTGCTGGGACCAGTTGAAGTAAGAGCAATAGCCGCATCCTTCAAAATTGGCTTCACGAGACCTGACAACTTCAGGGAGGCGGCTGAGCAAGGGACAGAGGTGGGGATAATCAGCAGCCTAACATGATGTTCCATGGAAAGCAGAGGGGGTGGAAAGCAGAGAAGGAACTGGGGGCGGCGGCATGTTCAGTACTTGATGCGCCATGGACAGAGGACAGGTCAAGAAAGCCCTGAAAGGGCTCGTGCGGAACAAGTCGCCTGGTGCGGACGGCATCCCGAAGGAACTGTTCGAGATCCACTGGGACCTGCTTGGGGGGGAGGTCATGAAGCTGAGTAGAGACTTCGAACCTTCACGGAAACTCTCGCAAAAGGTTCTGACGGCGGTGACTGTCCTCCTGCACAAAAAGGGTCCGGCAGACGCACTCCACAACTATCGGCCCATCACGCTTCTGAATGTCACTTACAAGCTTATTGCGAAAGTGCTGGCTAACCAGGCCAAGCCTCTCATGGGTGAGGTGATTTCAGAAGAGAAGTACAGCTTTCTTACATGGAGGAAGCTGGCAGATGCGGTGGCGGTAATAGCTTATGTGATCAACGCTGCGCAGCAGAATAAGGAGGACTAGTTGTTGCTACTAGTGGACTTTTAGAAGGCGTACGATTTGGTCTCGCGGCCGTATCTCTTTGCGACGATGCGAGATATGGGCTTCCCGTACAGGTTCGTTAGATGGGTGGAAGGCCTGCACCATGGGGCGAGCACGAGGCTTAACACAAACGGCTGGCTGGGGGAGAGTGTTGAGATGCAGAATGGGGTGAGGCAAGGCTGTCCTCTTGCGCCTTACCTCTTCCTCTACGCTGTGGAGCCTTTGTGTCAAGAAGCGCGAAGGCGGAAGCTGGGGCTGTCCAAGAAAAGGGTCGGGCGGTAAGCGTACCTGGGGTATGCTGACGACACCACGCTCCTCCTCAACGGTAGGCAGCAGCTGGACGTGGCGGCGCAGCTCCTGTCGGATTTCGCGGCTTTGCCCAGACTTCGTACCAATCATGACAAGTCGGTGGTGGTGCCCCTGGAAGTCAATCATCACAAGGCGGCCCTGCCGAACCTTCAAATGGGCGCAGGAGGGGGTGAAGGAGCGACTCCTTGGAGTCTGGATTACACCTGGCGGAGAGGCGGGTCCGTCGTGGGAGAAGGCACTGGACACAGGCAAAGGGGAGTTGGTCAAATGGAAGTCCAAGCATCTCACGACCTCTGCACGTGTTACAATCAACAACAACTACGTGACGCCGATATTCCTTTTCCAAGCACAGATTTACCCACCTCCGGAGCTTACCTGGAAGCAGATTAGGAAGTTGAATCACAACTTTGTATCCAGCCGCAGGGCGTCGGCGGACAGGCACTTCATTCTTTGGGGCCACCAACTCATATGCATGCCACAGTAGGAAGGCGGACTAGGCATGGTGGGGCCGAAAGCGAGGGTTGGCAGTCTCGCTCTGAAGGCCGTGGTGAACATGCTGACGGAGACCAACCCAATGAATCTCGGGTTGACGCAGGATGCGGCGCAACTCCCGCTTGGTATAGCGTCTCTGTTCTCTTATAGGTCCCTGTTGAAGCAGTGGGGGGATGGCAGAAGCAGGTGGAAGGAGATTGCATCGGTCTTTATGGGTCGACTCTAAGTCAACTCGCGGTAGTGCACTCAAGATGGGAAATAGAGAAGGAGCAGTTGACTTTCAATAACATCTACTACAGGGGGAGCAGTCCGTTCGGGAACCTGAGGTTCCCTGACAAATTTCAAGGGGTCACGCTGGGGGACGTGATTTCTAGGGGAGAGGACGGGAGCGGGGCTCTCAAGGATCAAAATGTGTTGGCGGCGGAACTCGGATGTGCACAGGTGGCAGCACGCCTGGCTAGGGTGGCATTCGAGGCAGCCCCAGCTCAGTGGAAGCAAAAGTTGCTCGCCACCTCAAGTGCAAGGAGCTGGTAGCGGAAATGGGTCTCGTCTGCATGTCACACAATCGAGCAGGGGCCTTGCATTACTAGAGGGTAGTCGGCGTGGCGGATGGGCGGCTGCGATGCAAGATGGCAGGGGTCGATGACAAAGGCTGTCTTACATAGCGTGTTGGGGGAACGGAGTGCGAGTTTGAGGTATCGATGGTCAACCCTATGGCGGTTAAGGCCAAGAGGGTGCTAGGGAGCATGGGGGAGCCGGGGGCTCGACTGTTGGGGCACTGTTTAACAGAGGAGGGGCATGTCGGCTCACTCAAAGTTCTACGTGCAGCTCTTACTGCGTCAGTTGTCAAGCCGAAACATCAGCAGGTGTGGGAGATGTGCTGAGGCAAACGTATCAACTGGAAGCAGACAATTCTGAGGAGGGACTCTAAGGTGGTGATGATGAAGGCAAGGGATGTGCTGCTCAGGGTGCACAGTTTCAATCTGCAGGTGGGCAATAGACTACGGTTCCTGGGGGACCGAGCCGTCTGCCCGTACTGCAAGGAAGAGGAAACCCTAGCCCATTGTCTTTTCAACTGCCCGATTATCTGGCCGGTCGTCGGCGCGCTGTTGAGGGCACTCCGTATGATGAACCCAGCCTGACAGGTGGGCTCACTGGAAGATCTTCTGTTCCAGCCGGGGGCTTCACGGTCAGGTTTTCCGGAAGCTACGCTGATCGGGGTGGTCCTCCACCGAATTTGGGCGGACAGATGTGATGCGGCTTTTGAGAGAGGGAAATTTCAGGCGGGCAGGGCGCTGCGCCAGATCTCTACCACCTTCCACCTGCATTCAAGGACGTATGTGGGCATCAAGGCCAGGGCTAAGGCAGGAGGAAATCCGGCCCCCTTTCCCACGCCGGTCAGCTGCAAGACCCTTCCAACATTCCGTGCAAAGATGCCGAATTGAGTTCGCAACTCACGTGGGTTGGTCTTAATAACTCGTACACCTTTGGTTGTAGCGTTGCAGTGCAGGGTGTCCCCACCTCACCCATGTTGTGGAGGGTAGACTACACCTGGTGAGGCAACAGGTAGTGCGGTGCTCCGCTAAAACCCCCACCCATCACCGAAGCGCGTGCCTCGTTGCGAGGACAGCTGTACCCAGATGGGCGTTGGCATCAGAGGGTAAGGCAGCGGAGAGGCCGGTTGGGGGGGCTGGCAAGTGGAGCCAGCTGGCGAGAGATGAGGTTGCGGTCATTCACCGGATATGTGACAGCAGTTGGAGGCTACTGACGTGGAACGGCGGTCTCCGGTTGATATGGACCAACCCACTTACATTTCACCAGCCACCGTAGTCGCTCTCATGGGGGGGGCTGGTACAGCACCAGGGGACCTAAGAATACAGTTACGACTGCGAAAGTGTTGCATTGTATCCCTCTATACTGTAATGCCTTCGAAAAAAGAAAAGAGAGAGAGAAAAAAACTGTATTATATGGCATCTGAGACCCTGTTTCCTACATACATGGTATCACTTAGCGAAGCAATAAAATTACACACACAGTTTCTACACAACCCCATCCCCTTCATCCCTCCCTTCCCTCACGCTCTGCTCGTCAGCTCTCTTCCTCCATTTTAAATCGTGCTGCTGCTGCTGCATCCATGCACTGCTTCTCTGTTTCTCTGATTCTCTGCGGTCACGTGCATCCCTTCCATCTCATGCTTGTTGCCAACTCTCTCCCTCCATCTCCAACCCCTCACTGCTGCTCCCAAACAGAGTGGAACCTTCTGAACTGAATCAATCAGTGTTATTGCCCGATGGCCCCATCACCCAAATCACATGCTCGCCGGCTCTCCCCCTCCATCTCCATCCCACTCCTGCTGTCTCCAAACAGAGTCGAACCTTCAGAGAAACTCGAACCCTCCGAAAGAATTGACCCTTCTGACACAACAGATCCTTCGGAGACGTTCGACGGTTCCCTAGAAATGCCCCTCCCTCCCCCCTCCCGGCATGCCGTTGCAAGCATTAGCTCCTGAATTTTGGGATGCTGTATTCTTGAATCTGGTAACATTCTTGGGCATGGTAACACAACGAGCTTGGCTGATGCACCGGCGGTAACCTCTGGGCTTTGACCCGGACTTTGAGGCATCGAAGAAATAGCCGTGCCTCTTTCACCCACTCTAAGCGAGCCTTGTCTCAAGTGCTCTCCCTCCACAGCCCTCCTTGAGACGATGTGCATCATCAGTGTTCCCTGACTGACATCGACTCTATCATCACTGAAACATGCATTCACTCCACTCAACAGTCCCCCCTTCTCCCCCTCTCTTTCATCCTCCACTTCCTCCCCTTCCTCCTCTTCCTCCTCCCCTTCCTCCTCCCCTTCCTCTGCATCCACTAGTATTCTAAGCAACAGAATCTCTTCCCTCTCTCTCTCCTCTCCCCCTCCTCCTCCCCACTCTCTCCCAACTTTCCTTGCAGCTGCCACCGCTGCTGCTGCTCCTCCTCCCCCTCCCCCTGCTGTTCCTGTAGCAGTCGCCTGTGTAGCGGTGGCATGGCCATACATTACCATCCCTGCAACCGCTATGCACATACCGAGGATGCCTTTAAAGGAGATGACGGAGTCAAAGAGCAGCACCCCCAGCACGAGCACGAGCACTGTCTTCATGTGGCCAAGCACTTGGTAGGTCGAGGCGGAGAACGTCCCGATGCACAGATAGGCGCTAAGGTTGCAGACAACGGCTAGACAACAGGAGAGGGCAATGAATACCTGCAGGAGAGAGGGAGAGGGGTAAATGGACGATGATGTTAGAGTCAAGAACAGCGCCCCCAGCAGCAACACTGCCAGCAGCACCCCTAGCACGAGCACTGTCTGCATGTGGCCCAGCACTTGGTAGGTCGAGGCGGAGAGCGTCCCGATGCACAGATAGGCGCTGAGATTGCAGACTACGGCCAGGCAGCAGGAGAGAGCAATAAATGCCTGAAGGAGAGAGGGAGAGCGGGAGAGAGGGAGAGGGGTAAATGGAAGATGATTTTAGAGTCAAGAACAGCGCCCCCAACAGCAGCACCCACAGCAGCAGCACTGCCAGCAGCAGCACCCCCAGCTCGAGCACGAGAACTGTCTTGATGTGTCCCAGCACTTGGTAGGTCGAGGCGGAGAACGGAGAAACGGAGTCAAAGAGCACCACCCCCCCCAGCCCGAGCATGAGCACTGCCTTCATGTGGCCAGCCAGCCGAGTTGAGTTGAGAATAGGCTAGCGTAGCGTACCTTCACATGACTGGTGTAGGGAGGGGAGGGCCGACCAGCAGCAGCATAGGTCGACTTACACACCACAGGCAGCACAGCATGAGATGGGGCTGGAGTAATTTCACACTACCAGCACAGGTTGACTCACAATGGCGTAGGGCTGGTAGTGGTAGTCGAGGAGAGAGCGGGAGGTGAGCCAGAGGTCGAGGAAGGGGCCGACAAGCAGCAGCATGAAGGCTTGGAGAGTAGAGTATCAGCATACAACGGGGGGGTCTCACACACTCCCGTACTCACAATGGCGTAGGGCTCATAGTGATAGTCGAGGAGAGATCGGGAGGTGAGCCAGAGGTCGAGGGAGGGGCCGACTAGCAGCAGCATGAAGGCTTGGAGAGGCGCTGATTGGGTGAGGAGGTCAAAGGAGCCGATGGAGTAACGCTCCTGGAGTAAACCGATCAACTGGAGTATGGGAGAAAATGGGAGGAGAGAGAGTAGAGAAAGAAGCAGCAGCGTGAAGGCTTTGAGGGGCGCTGATTGGGTGAGGAGGTCAAACGAGCCGATGGAGTAACGCTCCTGGAGTAGACCGATCAACTGGAGTATGGGGAAAAATGGGAGGAGAGAGAGTAGAGAAAGAAGCAGCAGCGTGAAGGCTTGGAGGGGCGCTGATTGGGTGAGGAGGTCAAACGAGCCGATGGAGTAATGCTCCTGGAGTAGACCGATCAACTGGAGTA